ACAAGTTAAATGACTCACTGACTGATTGACTGACTGACTGAAACTGACCAAATAAGTGACTCCATAAGTGTATGACTCTCTGACTCACTTATGCTTTGACTAACTGTGGAACTCATTAAAAACTTAATTCACTATACAGTGTTAAAATCATAACTTATTAACGTTTTCAATATTTAGTTTGTGTTTACAGAGACAACGATTCGAGCGGTGATGGACACCTTCGTCAAACTTCGTCCTTATAAGGGACGATGCCTCTTCTGCCTGTGTGTTATTTCATATCTTATTGGGCTCTCTTGTGTCACTAAGGTAAATCAATTAATAATGGTAATAGGACCAAGTGGTGTCCAATTCGGTCTGGAATCATATGAGTGATCACAAAATCGGACGAACGCGAAGCGCGGGTCAGATTTGTTAATTAATTATGAGTATGATTCCAGATAGAATTGGACATCACAAAGTCCTGTTACCAATAAATCATAACCATTACAATTTCCGGAAAAAAAAAACTCATTTATTTTAGAAAATATCTCCGGTGAAGACATTGTCTAAAGTAAGAAATTCCTCGTTTTGGAATTCCTCCAGGTTTGTAGTGTAAGTGGTTGGTGCTATAGGTGTTGTAATCAACTCAGTGATTGGTGGATTAGCTGAGTCGACTTAGTATTATTGGCTCCTTCGACTGTCCGATTACAGGTGTCCGATAACGGCCAACTTTCCGAAATTACTCCGTTCGATTACAACTCTGCAGAATAGTTAGTTAAATATAAAGTAGCTTATGCACCAATCGCATTTGTGAAAATTGTAATTGTAATGATTAAATGACAAATGGGCCCTATGGATCTTGACATTTTTATTGAAAACAAAAAGTTAATTAGTGCGCTTATTTGAAGATTCTCATGATTCGTTGCTGATTTAAAATGACCAAAATTGGAAATTATTTAGAAGAGATCATCTTTCAAGAGGTGGAATAATTTAATTTCCTTTTTTTATTTCCTATCAGGGAGGAATCTATGTCCTTAACATATTTGACAGCCAAAGTGGAGGCATTTCTTTGATTTGTGTGGTTGTTCTCGAAGCTGTTGCTGTCAGTTGGGGATATGGTGAGTTCTCTCATCAGAGCAGCAGTGCTTAAAAAAATTTTACCTAGTTACTGACGAGAAGCTAAAGATTTTCACATTTTCTTTTTAAAGGAGTTGATAAATTCTCAGATAATATCAAGGATATGATTGGAAGGAAACCCAGCAAGTACTTTGTCATCTGCTGGAAATACGTCACACCTCTTGTTGCAA